AACTAGCTATCCAGCCACCATCAGACTAGATATCCAGTCACCATCAGACTAGATATCCAGTCACCATCAGACTAGCTATCCAGCCACCATCAGACTAGCTATCAGTTACCATCAAACTAGCTATCCAGTCACCATCCGACTAGCTATCCAGTCACCATCAGACTAGCTATCCAGCCACCATCAGACAAGCTATCCAGCTACAAAAATCAGTCTGGCTGTCCAGCTATCCAGCTACAATCAGTCTGGCTGTCAAGCTATCCAGCCATTAGTATGGCTGTCCAGCTATCCAACTACAATCAGTCTGGCTGTCCAGCTATCCAGCTACAATCAGTCTGGATGTAAAGCTATCCAGCCACAATCAGAATGGCTGTCAAGCTATCCAGCCATTAGTATGGCTGTCCAGCTATCCAGCTACCATCAGCATGACTGTCCAGCTATTCAGCTACAATCAGTCTGGCTGTAAAGCTATCCAGCTACAATCAGTCTGGCTGTAAAGCTATCCAGCTGCTATCAGTCTGGCTGTAAAGCTATCCAGCCACCATCAGTATGACTGTCCAGCTATCCAGCCATTCGTATGGCTGTCCAGCTATCCAGCCACCATCAGTCTGGCTGTCCAGCTACCAAGCCATTCGTATGGCTGTCCAGCTATCCAGCTACAATCAGTCTGGCTGTAAAGCTATCCAGCTACCATCAGTATGACTGTCCAGCTATCCAGCCATTCGTATGCCTGTCCAGCTATCCAGCCACCATCAGTCTGGCTATCCAGCCATTCGTATGGCTGTCCAGCTATCCAGCTACAATCAGTCTGCCTGTAAAGCTATCCAGCCACAATCAGAATGGCTGTCAAGCTATCCAGCCATTAGTATGGCTTTCCAGCTATCCAGCTACAATCAGTCGGGCTGTAAAGCTACCCAGCCACAATCAGTATGGCTGTCAAGCTATCCAGCCGTTAGTATGGCTGTCCAGCTATCCAGCTACAATCAGTATGGCTGTCAAGCTATCCAGCCATTAGTATGGCTGTCCAGCTATTCAGCTACAATCAGTATGACTGTCAAGCTATTCAGCTACAATCAGTATGGCTGTCCAGCTATCCAGCTACAATCAGTCGGGCTGTAAAGCTATCCAGCTAAAATCAGTCTGGCTGTAAAGCTATCCAGCTACAATCAGTGTGGCTGTCCAGCTCAGCCACAATCAGTATGACTGTCAGGCTATCCAGCCATTAGTAGGGCTGTCCAGCTATCCAGCTACAATCAGTCTGGCTGTAAAGCTATCCAGCTACAATCAGTCTGGCTGTAAAGCTATCCAGCTACAATCAGTATGGCTGTCCAGCTATTCAGCTACAATCAGTATGACTGTCCAGCTATTCAGCTACAATCAGTATGGCTGTCCAGCTATCCAGCTACAATCAGTCTGGCTGTCCAGCTATCCAGCTACAATCAGTCTGGTTGTAAAGCTATCCAGCTACAATCAGTCTGGCTGTAAAGCTATCCAGCTACAATCAGTATGGCTGTCCAGCTATCCAGCTACAATCAGTCTGGCTGTCCAGCTATCCAGCTACAATCAGTCTGGTTGTAAAGCTATCCAGCTACAATCAGTCTGGCTGTAAAGCTATCCAGCTACAATCAGTATGGCTGTCCAGCTATCCAGCTACAATCAGTCTGGCTGTCCAGCTATCCAGCTACAATCAGTCTGGTTGTAAAGCTATCCAGCTACAATCAGTCTGGCTGTAAAGCTATCCAGCCACAATCAGTATGGCTGTCCAGCTATCCAGCTACAATCAGTCTGGCTGTCCAGCTATCCAGCTACAATCAGTCTGGTTGTAAAGCTATCCAGCTACAATCAGTCTGGCTGTAAAGCTATCCAGCCACAATCAGTCTGGCTGTAAAGCTATCCAGCCATTAGTATGGCTGTCCAGCTATCCAACTACAATCAGTCTGGCTGTAAAGCTATCCAGCTACAATCAGTCTAGCTGTCCAGCTATCCAGCCATTAGTATGGCTGTCCAGCTATCAAGCTACAATCAGTCTGGCTGGCCAGCTATCCAGCCATTAGCATGGCTGTCCAGCTATCCACCTACAATCAGTATGGCTGTCCATCTATTCAGCTACAATCAGTCTGGCTGTGAAGCTATCCAGCTACAATCAGGATGGCTGTCCAGCTATCCAACAAACTAGCTATCCAGTCACCATCAAACTAGCTATCCAGCCACCATCAGACTAGCTATCCAGTCACCATCAGACTAGCTATCCAGTCACCATCAGACTAGCTATCAAGCCACCACCAGACTAGCTATCCAGTCACCATCAAACTAGCTATCCAGCCACCATCAGACTAGCTATCAAGCCACCACCAGTCTGACTGTCCAGCTATCCAGCCAACATCAGTGTGGCTGGCCAGCTATCCAGCCATTAGTATGGCTGTCAAGCTATCCAGCTACAATCAGTCTGGCTGTCCAGCTCAGCCACAATCAGTATGGCTGTCCAGCTATTCAGCTACAATCAGTATGACTGTCCAGCTATTCAGCTAACATCAGTATGGCAGTCGGCCGATCAAGCCAGCACCAGTCTGGCTATCAAGCTATCCAGCCACAATCAGTCGGACTGTCCAACTTTCCAGCCACCATGTGACTGGCTGTTCGGCTATCCACCCATTTTCAGTATGGCTCTCAAGCTACCAACACAAGTATGACTTTTATGCTATCAAGTCAACACCAGTATGGCTGTCAAGCTATCCAGCCACAAGTATGGCTGTCCAGCTATCCAGCCACCATCAGTATGGCTGTTAAGCTATCAAGCCACCATCAGTCTGGCTGTACAGCTATCAAGCCACCATCAGTCTGGCTGTACAGCTATCAAGCCACCACCAGTCTGACTGTCCAGCTATCCAGCCAACATCAGTGTGGCTGTCCAGCTATCCAGCTACTATCAGTATGACTGTCCAGCTACCCAGCCAACATCAGTGTGGCTGTCCAGCTATCCAGCTACTATCAGTATGGCTGTCCAGCTATCCAGCCACCATCAGTTTTGCTGGATAGCTATCCAGGACACTAAATAGTTATAATCAGACATTAATAGTGCTATACTTACATTGGATAGCTAGCATCGTAGAATGGAGCCTGGAGCACACCGGCCGGGAGGACAATCTCGTTCTTGGTTGGTGTGTAGTAGGCATTGACTGTTGGTGGTGTCATACTCCATCTACAGGGACAACACAACCAGGATTGTATCTATGTAACATTATGGCATTTACCAGTGATAAACCTAGAAAGCCTGATGGCAACACAACAAGGACTGTATCTGTGTAACATTATGGTATTTACCAGTGATAAACCTAGAAAGCCTGATGACAACACAACGAGGAATGTATCTGTGTAACATTACGGCATTTACCAGTGATAAACCTAGAAAGACTGATGGCAACACAACAAGGATTGTATCTGTGTAACATTATGGCATTTACCAGTGAT